AACAAAATGTTAAGCTGCATAAATGGTGAACTATTTACAAATAATATATGTGTTTTATGTTGTTCTTCTATGGGTTCAGGCAGTATTTTTAATTACTTTAGTGCAATGTGATTTGGACAATTGAAGTTGAATACGTCAGTATAATACAGCTAAAGCATTTATTTGTTTGGATTTGTAATCGAAATAGAGGTTTTGAAAAACTATAGGTTTAGTTTCAAATTCTCTTTTTCTAGGAGAATTACTTAATCTCTGCCCAATTATTGTGCTTTTTGCAGTCATATTTAACCTTTTCTGGGATTCTACTTTGTATGTTATATAAATGTTTACTGCTAATGCATTATGAATATGAGACTACACAGTAATATTTACCTATGTTCCAGGCCCTGGCTATTTCTATGACCTCAAAACTGAGTGAGAAAATAAGTATAAAGGAAAATAAAATAAATGCATTATATTTTCTAAATGCTTAAGAAATACAAAGGATGCCAAAAAACGGTATACACATTTTAAGAAAGGTGTCACTTTGGTCAATGTTACTCAAACAGTAGTTCGCCATAATCAGAAGTGTCTGGATGCTGATGGTAACCACTTTGAACACCTCTTGTAATTGCAGAAGTCAAGCGTGACTTGTATTCATGTTATTGAGTATTACAGTTTTAATACAGTTTTTTTTCCTTTCTTTAAAATGTGTATATTGTCTTCAGCAACCTTTTGAAAGTTATTCATAAAGATACTTTTCAAATTTCATTTACTGTAATTCTACATAGTATCCTTGGTATAGACTGAGTGGTATGTTTCTCTAAATTCTTCTCTTCTGTGTGTGTGTGTGTGTGTGTTTTTCCAGTTACTGGCTGACAAACAAAGTTCCCATCAAAAGACCCAGCACAGGTCTCCTCATGTATACACTTGCCACAAGATTCTGTGATGAAATTCACCTGTATGGATTCTGGCCATTCCCTAAGGATTTGAATGGAAAAGCCGTCAAATATCATTACTACGATGACTTAAAATATAGGTACTTTTCTAATGCAAGTCCTCACAGAATGCCATTAGAATTCAAAACATTAAATGTGCTGCATAACAGAGGCGCTCTGAAACTGACAACAGGAAAGTGTGTAAAGCAATAAAGCACATTTGAAAACAGACAAGCAAACTGCATATGCGCTTCTTTTCTGAAGATGCTTCCTAAGATTTGAAAAATAGGATCCAAAACAAGACTGGGTTTCAGCATCCACTAATTACCTGAAAGGTGATAAAGGGCATCCATGAGAAATCCACTACCAGCTGATGAAATATCTGCAAAGTGCTCTGAACATTAAACATTTTGACTTCAAGGGTCCTAGTAAGTGCCACTTCCACTAAGAACACAGTTTGAATGTATAATTAGTAGTGTTTACAAGATCCAACAATGCACTCGTCGTAGTTAATGAAGCAAATATGTTCATCGCTGTTGGGCTGCCACTGCGACAACAAGCACATGAGAAGAGGAACCCAGGAACACAACTCAGCCCATGGGGAAATGCACCACCCTTGTCAGCAGATACAAAGATGGAAACGGTTTGAGCAGTGAAACTCATAAGATTAAACAACTCAAGTAAATGCCTTCAGTCAGGACTCTGAGTCTGATCATGAATTTTCTGTTTCTGTTCTGTTTTTGTTTGTCCTCTGGAAACTCTTTTGGTTTGGGAACTGGGGTGCTTAGAAATCCTTTCTAAGATGCATATGAATCAGATAAATAACCTTCAAGAAATCATTTTTAAAGTTCTTATATTTTTAAAGAGCAATCACACAGTGACTTTGTAAAAAAAAAAATTATTTTGCACTACTCTAAGCCTCCAGGTTTTTTCCCAGTGGTGTAGAAGGTACCAGCTAAACTGTTCCACTCAGTCATCTTGAGCCATTCTAAGAGAAAGATGTCCTGTGTCATCTGAGATGGTAAAAGCAGCCGAAAAAAGTATACTTTTGGTACCAAAGATTATTCTGATGTTTCTACACAACAAACCATTCTCCTTTCATGAAAATAATATATTGATGTATTATACTACTAGTGGAAAAGTTGTCTCTAGATATTTTAAATTTTCCAAACTCAAACTTGATTGTTATTTGAAGGAAGACTTCCACGGCTTTTACATTTCATAATAATTTTGTGGAAGCATTTTGCCCTTTAGAAGAAATGTGTGACTGATAGGGCTGAAATATGACTTCCAGTTGTTTGACATTCCCCCTTACTATTCAAATGGAAAGACTGGTGTGCTCTTCCTATCACTGGTACATTTTCTTGGTGCAGAAATAACATGACTAATAGAGTGTTGGTTCAATGACAGAGTTGATTCACTTGAAGAGGTGTAACAGTGAAACGGTCAGTATTTTGCACTTTGAATGGATTAAACTGACCAATATTTTTCCTGTGGTTAAATTTATTCATGTTATCCTATTAATGTGTTTTTCCAAGAAGCACATGAAATTATTCATAAAGTGATGTGAAATGTTTTAGCGTAGAACAGAATTGACCGATAGGCCAGTTTTCTGGTGACTACACTGGTAGGTAATTCTGATGGTACATTGTTTCTTTAGAAAGCAGAAGTGCTGTGTTCCCACTTCTACTCTTGGCCTAAAACAACTTAGAGGACTTCTTGTTTCTTATGCAAGGCAATGTGAGTAAAGAAAAATAGCATGGAGAATATATATATATATATATATATATATATATATATATATATGTTCATGAAAAAGGATATTCACAGTAGTACTGTTCTCAATTTATTAATGATATGTATATTATTTTTTAAAATATGGTAAATAATGGGATAGAGAAGAGTATTTTTTGAGAATTCATGTGTCTAAGAAACAAAACAGAATGCATAAAGGAGATACATAGCTAAAAGTGGAGAAAACTTGATGTACTTTTATCATTAATCTCTTACCTACTGGAAATTTTAAAAGAATTAGGCACATGTCTTGAATGTAAAGTTGAAAAGCCTGATTTACTTAACAAATCAAAGGTAGGTGATTTATAGACCCTTAATTCTGATTATTTGGGGATCCATTTTTTGAGGAGGCTTTAATTTGAATTCAATAGATGTTTTGAAGTCTCTGGTAAATTCTTAAAGGTAAAATCCATCTCAGAACTCTTTCGAAGAATGTCTTAAGACGCAGCAGCCAGGTAC